TGAACGTGACTGGAGAAAAGGTTGATTTTTTTTCTTATTTACCGTTTATTTAGCGCCTTTCTTTGCGCTGCTTTCATAATTTGTTTGTAGAGAGGATTTCTCCTATATTAGTGCACCTTTTTTTTATATATATAGTTGCTGTTTTATCACAAAGAGCTGGAAAGCTTTGATGGCGTGCGATTTGACTGTAGGTAAGCTCTTAGAGAATAAAAAATATATTTGATTTATTTAGAAAGAGTTGGCGCTGGCAATGTGCAGTGAATTCCATTTTGAATGTGTCCCAGCTAGATTCCGTTGCTTTGTTCTGTATGGAACATCATCATGTGGCTGCACCTTCAATTCCAAGAAGAACTTGAGCTCATGCCACATGTCCTTGAGTGGGTTAAAGTCAGGACTCTCCAGGGAGAGTACACCACCAGTTAATGTTGCGTTCCTCAAAGAAGGTCTAGGCCTGTTTGGACGTGTGCTTCAGGTCATTATCTTGGATAGACTGGTGATCAGGAAGTCTTTCTCTGATGAATGGAACCAAGTGTGGTCTCTGGGATGTTGCAAAATAGATCGGCATCCATGATACCATCAAAGATGCAAATCTCTGTGGCACCATGTCTGCTAAATCCTCCCTAGATGTGAACCTTTAGCAAGTGCTTCAGCTTAGGCTTTCACTTGGTCAGCTCATCAAACTTCCAGTAACATGTGCGCTGGTAATATGCAAGGGAAATGGAGCACTCATTGCTGAAAATCATGTCGTGGAAAGTGTTGCCACTGTCCAGGACTCATTGTGCATACTCCAACTACTTGATTTTGTTGACATCTCGTATAAGCTGGCAGTATCTAGTCCACTGTAGAGGCAGGTCTCGCTGCTTGCGTGATCTTTGCACAGTTGACGAACTAACATCCACTCCATGTTTTGCCAGCTTCTTCTTGATCTGGGCACTTGTCATCTCATCATTATTTCGCATTTGCTAATCTATAAAAGCTTTGGCTTCTACAGACAGCTTTTACATGTATGGTCTCCCAGAGCGTGGTAGATTTGTAATGGAACTGGTAACAGACAGATTTTTGATCGTGCGAGTGACACTTAGTAGGAAAACTTACAGATAAACCTTCACATAAAGACTGGGTTTAAGGCAGGAAACCTCATGTGTTTTATACTGAGGGAAAGTGGGGGTTTCAACACGTGTAAAGGGAATAACAACAAGGAATTACCACTGACAACAAGTTTGTTGCAGCTTTCATGCTTTTGGGTTTTGAAATCTTAATAACAGTTAAGAATTAATTTGACAATAAGCAGGTGAGGTAGGTAGTAGAACAGTTGATCCATATATGAAGCAAACTCGGCAGTTGTAATGCTGGCTTTACAGAGAGAATATTCACATAGTCACTCAATGAAATCATAGGTAATAAACAGAGAGAATGTTTACGTAAAAATTCACAACTAATTTTTGGGAAGAGCGAATCATTACTCAAAAATTCGCAGCACGTTTTTGGGAAGAGCGAATTATCGTTCGCAAATTTACAATAAATTTTTGGGAGGAGCGAATTATCGTTCGAAAAATCATGTCGATTGAAACAATAGTTGTCACAAAATTGCAGCAAAAAATCAGCGAAATGTCATTTCAAATGAATTTTGGCACGAAAAGCCATCAAAAGCCAGGAATTTCATCAAAAATCACTTGCGTTACTTTTGCACAGTACTAGTAGTGTTGTACACTGTATCCCACAAAAGCCCTTCAGCTTTCTTTGGGGAAGCAAAGTGGACAAAAAAAGAATTGTATTGTATCAAAAACCGTGTGGAGCAGAACATAGACATTTATTTAATGTTTCCCTCTTTTACTTAGAACTTCTAGATTAATACTTTAGTGAATTACGAGACCTGTATGAGGATGACTGCTTCAAAGGTGACTTGACTATATGGAACAACAAAGATATTACTATCAAAGGAAAATCTTGTAGGGGGAAAATCTTCCGGCATTTTGTCCAAGGTGCAGTGCAAGGATTATTACTCACTCTTCCAAGCAAACTGGGAAACAGAACCAATTTATCAGTTCAATCATGGTCCAAACATTAC